GGGGGGGGGGGGGCGCAAAGGACAAGACGGAAAAATCGCCCAAATGATTACAGAATTTCCCTCATGCCCAAAGGCCACCGAAGACACGCACAGAGGCCAGCATTATGGAAAAAGCTCCTCTCGTTTTCCTCCCTCCTCACCACATCTACAAGGAAAGACCGAGATAAGGAAAGGGCCCAGCAGGAAGAGATTACCGAATGTCTGAAACCATACACCCTCAAAAAAAAAAAAATCCAATTTGTTCTTGCACGAGTCAGATTTCACTCCGCCTTGGAAATAACTGGGGCCGGGAAGTCAGGTGTCTGAGCCCAGCACGCAGCACAGCAACTTTCATAAATGTCCCCACGTCTAGACGGCACCGCGTCTCTTATAAAACGGTCTGCTTTTAAATAAGGCCACCCCGTGGTTTAATGTTTAAACCGTATGCAGCCGCAGGTCTGGCCGGGGACCTGCCAATGCTGCCCTGCAGTGCCTGCCTGCTTAAGAGGCAAACTCGGCGCAGCCAATTCCCATCCCTTGTTAAATGTAATGGGCCCGGCCTCCTCTTCTGCCGGGGCAGTTTCTCTTTTTGTGAATAATAACCCCAAACCACCTGCTCTGCAGCCCGCCGCACCACCTGCTCTGTAGCCCGCCGCCGCCGCGAATGAAGGAGCTTGGTGATCTCGGCAGGGTTATGGGCAAGCAGAGCAGAATGACAAAAGTTCAGGCCTGTACTGGCTGGCTGGCCTCAGGCAAGCCCCAACCTGGTAGGCCTCAGTTTCCTGATCTGTAAAATGGTAGGTTAGTGCCTGGCACACAGTAGGTGTTCACTGAATGGGGGTAACTATAAAAGAGGCCTATCAGATACGGGGTCCTGGACCATGTTATAGGGGTGATGAACCCAAAGCAAATCATCTCACAGACCTCTCCCCTCCCTGTTTCCCCACACATCTTCTCCCCACATTTATACTGGTGGGAGAGCAGGTTAACATTCAGAGCCAGCCTGCATGCCCACATACAGCAGGCAGCCAGCTGTCTTCCTGGCCTGCTCTGGGGAGGGGGGCATGTTCTGGGCAAGTTGTGTGTATTTGAGGCTCTAGCCAAGACAATCGCTGCCTTCGTCCCACCACAGCCATCCCTCATGGATGCTCATTCACTCCCATACGTCAGCCTGCGAGGAGTGCTCTAGAGCAGTGCCTCTCCTACAGGGGTCATGAGCATCTTGTTACTTAAAATGCAGACTCTGAACCCAAAGTTCTAAGGAGGGGGCCTGGGAGTCTGCATTTCTAGCAAGCTCCCAGGTGATGCCAGCGATGCAGGTTCAAGGATCCACTGTGAGTAGCAAGATCTTAGTGCTCTGCCTTTGGCCCTGACATATCAACATTTTTAATCAGTGACAACATTCTTAACAGCAGTGACTAACATTCATTACATGTGAACCATG